GCGCGCACACACACACACACACACACACACTCACTCACTCACTCACTCACTCATGCATGCACACACACTCACTCACACACCTCCCTAGTTTCAAACACACTTCATCCCTTTGATCTCTCCAATGGATGTTTGATTATTTGAGTCAGTGTAAGTACAATATTTGTGTTTGATAGAGAAAGTTTATGTATTTACATGGAGAAGGGTCAGTATCTCAGTCATAATAATAATAATAATATTAACATTCAAACACTACTACTACTAATAATAATATTAATAAAATACAAACAAAAAAACATACAAACACACATCCTATTAATACATCACATAATACTATTATTTGAACAATTAATACTATTATTTGAATCTGTTTTTCTTCTAACAGATAAACAGATAAACAAACAAACAAATAAATAAATGGTTTAGTATAATAATAATAATAATAATAAACATTAATTTAATTTATTTACTTGTTACACAATGTTCCATGCAATAAGCAGAGCAATGTTCCAAAAAAATGGACATGAACAACCAAAATTAACAAAATAATCTAGGTTTAAGGCCACAAACAGTGTGAATGCAAAGAGAGCTGGTTCTTTTTTCACTTTTTGGTCCACTTAAAGATTTATTAAAGGGTTAGTTCTCCCAAAAATGAAAAATCTGTCATTAATTACTCACCCTCATGTCGTTTCAAACCCGTAAGACCTTCGTTCATCTTCAGAACACAAAGATCCCCCAAGTGTAAAAACACCTTGTTAGGGGCAGTTTTGTCACAGTTTTCTTTTCTCTAAAGCTGTTTCACAGGTAAATCAGTCTGTCATGGACAACAAGCTCCCATAGATCACCCTCCACACTGAGCTCTGACTTCAGATGGCTGAGGGCTCTCCCTCACAATTACCAGGGCACTGAGAGCCAGTGACTTTTAATTAGAAAGACCAATATGCTTTGCTAATTCCCGCTGCCTCAGAACAGGAAGATCAATGAGCCGAGAGGACACGTCGTACAGAGAACCAAAGGTTTGTTCTGGAGAACAGCTCTAGATGTAAGAGCACAGAGAGCTTCGAGCAGCCTCGCACAAGGCTTTTGTGCGAATGTAAGAGAGATTCCCTCAGGAAATGAAACGATGAGGAAAGAAAGCATCTCTGCTGTATTCATATATGCATGGCCATATGGGGACTGTCAGAGAGCGATCTACTGGGCATTCGTCACAACACACCTGCTCCCCTGCACACACACGGCTGCTTGTGTCTGTTTCTGCTTTTACAGGCCCCTTTCATCTCCTTTTCTCAACTACAAAACTCCAGGGTTAAAACATAATGCACTGCTGATCCGGATGACATGGAACAATCTGTTCAGCACAATTCAGCATCACAGTTTAGTGACTAATAACTGTAGTAACCATGCATTCAGAACCTGATCTCCACTGAGACCCTGGGGTCCTAGTTCAGGCCAAGAAGTGTTCACTGCTGCTTTCGCACTTGGTCTGATTGGTTTTTATTTTCTGTTTCTTTTTTAGACAGTTTTTTTTCAGCAAGGATGCACTAAATTGATCAAAATTGACAGTAAATTCATTTATAATGTTACAAAGGATTTCTATTTCAGATAAATGTTGGAAATACAAATGAATGTTTGAAATAAACATTGAATCCTGAAAAAAAAAAATAAAAAAAAATAAATATATATATATATATATATATATATTAGGAGTGTAACGGTACACAAATATGACAGTTCGGTACGTACCTCGGTTTTAACGTCACGGTTCGGTATGATTTCGGTAC